GTCTTCCAAAAGAATGGATATCCACGGAATTTCATCAAGAGACATATACCCCCAAGCCAACCTACCAAAGCAAAAGCCACCAAGGAAACACAAAGAAAATTGCCTTACCATATATAAAAGATATCTCAGAAATCACTACAAGACTCTTCAAACCTTTAGGAGTTGACGTCGTACACAAACCAACAAAGTCGCTTCACTCAATTCTATGTCAACCAAAAGACTCAACAGCGAAAGAAGATAAAACCAACATCATCTACAAAATAAACTGTAACAACTGCGAAAAACACTACATCGGCCAAAGTGGACGTCCCCTTCGTCTTCGTATCCACGAACATAAGCTAGCCGTCAAAAGACATGATATCCACTCCCTCATTTCACTACACACAGACAACTACGGACATCAATTCGACTGGGACAACGTTCAAATATTAGACAAAGGAAATAACAAGAATGCTAGAGAATTTTTAGAAGCTTGGCATTCCAGTGGATCATCAATCAATAGACACATCGACATAGACAAAATTTATCAACCAATAAGAAAGAAACTTCACACACAAAGGGTCAAAATTCAAGTCAAAGAAACAACCGGTTCCAATACAAGTAACCTAGAAGGTGTGAAAACACACACAAACAACCAATCACGTCCAAGGTCACCAGGAGAGATGATTAATAAACTCGTGGAGAAATCTAAAAGCTCACTTCAAATTGAAGTATGCGCTGAAGATGTCACCCAGTAAGGTGATGAAAGCTTCGCAAACTAACCATCCAGCTCAGAGAACAAAACCACATCAAAATCATCCACCTGAGCTACAAATCTTCTCTATATTTACGCTACAATTTAAAGAACTTGAGTCAGAATTTGATCGACAACGTGTCAGTTGGCAGCTAGTGTGCTGGCATCAGGTAGGCAACCGTCCTTTATTCATTTACATCACAAATGGACAAATCCTCTAGGAATGAGTGTAGCCGATAAATGAACTAGACGTCATAGCTCAGTTTAAGCTAACTCTCATGAAGATATCTGGGGAACGGTTAATACACACTAGAACGCAAATCGAAATCAAAAACTGGGAACTACGGATGTATAGATGAATACCTCTGTTAAATATTTGTCCCATTCTGGTTTTAGCATTTTGAATCTAAGCATGAAAGATCAGTAGATTACTAGGATTTGCAGGTTGTACAACTCATGGAGAAGTGAAATCAAATAGAAACTTTAAGATGTTATATTGTCTGGTGTGTTGATGTATATGTTAGGATGTACGAGCTACTCAATTTCAACCCAGTAGCTCAATGATAGTTAATGAATCTCCTCTTAACTTCAAGCTCATTCTTGTTGTTGTGTATATGTTGGCGACAGGCTGATTTCCTGGTACTGGCTGACTCATTTTTACATCATTTCCCACAAAAAGTTCGATAAGAAAATCCGCCTTGTCAGTGCTAACCTGAAAGCATTCAGTAATCCTCCGTTATTTGTCTTTTCTCAACAGCAGATTTCGAATCGGTGAGTTAACTCGACTCCTTAGTGATCAATACACCAGACAGATACAGGAGTCGATCTGTTGCATAAAATGTCAATAGATTTGATGAAACTGCAACGTAATTTTCCTGGAGAAAATAATTTTGATAAACAAAAATATCTCTTAGGCAAAGAGCCACAAGAAATTTGAAAAACCTGTAAGTTTTCATCTTCATTTCAGTCCGCTGGAAAATTATTTGTCTCTTTTAGACATAGATCATGTTGAAAAGAGTGTATTATAATATTGTGAATGGTTTAATTAAAAGACAACCTGAAATTCTGATTATTGAGCGTTGATCGAATGTGGTAAACGTGCTAATTCGAAAATAAAACTCATAAATCCTATTGTTATCTCTTTGTTCGAGTGTTGACCACTTCTATGTGCATATATCAGTTCACTTGCTGTTGTGGAGCCAGGTACATTGGTCGTTCGACGCACCCTGTCTAAGAGGATTTAAGAACACTATCCAGAATGTTTGCTAAAAGCCAAAAGTGGTGCAATAATGAGTGCGATACTTGAATACCTGGTTAACACTGATCATTCCATTTCAACAAACGCCTCCTGCTTCAAAGTAATCTACAGAGTCAACAATAACCTATCAAAAGCAATACGGTTTCGTCTTCTTTGTATCACTGAAGCTCTGGTCATTCACATAGAAAAACTGGAGCTGTGCATACAAAATAGCATTACTCAACTACTTCTGCTGTCATGGTAACAACTTTTTTTGATTGGATTTGAGTTTTTTTATTTTGATGACTTAATTTTGTTTCTTTGCCTGTTCTTTAATTGCTTATAGTTCTTGTATTCATTTAGAACTCTTACATAATTTCGTATTATCTGCTTTGTTTCCATGTGCATCATGAGTAAAACTCACTCATCAAACTGTTCATATTATTATCACATAACTTCTTTTAACAACTGTTTGTAACAACTCATCACCTTTGTCACTACCCTAATTTTATTAACACCTAATTTTTTTGGCTTGTATTACCAATCTTCACCTGTTTAGTTAAAATAACCATAACCAATTGTCTATTTTTTGTTTGACAAACTTAATGTACACATACATACAAAATAACACATATATATATTTACGATTGTACAGCTAAGGAAATGAATTCACCGGCGAAAAGAGACTCTTCTCTGATCTATATGTTTTGTTTTCATTGAATAAATTTCTCGACATGGGAAAGAAACTCTGATCTGAAAATAAACATGGCATTTGATGAATGGCCGTTGATGACGAAACACTGGAGGAATGGATAACTGATGTATGCCTCTGTTGTGTCTGGTGTGACAGTGAAATGTGACTAAGTATCTCAGATGCTCGAAGAATATTCACCCCTAGTAGAGTTTCACCTTGACATGATCCACTTGCAGTTGAATCGTATGTGATGCATACAACATCTATTCTGATCTTTCTTTTGACAATTCAAATAGCCTGTATGGTGGAAATTAGAGGCATGTTTCTATCTTTGGTAATCAAAATGTGATTTCATCACAAGTGAGGTTTGCCGTATACTCACTTCTGATTTTCGTCTTCGCATAATGAGAAGTTTCACAGGAAACTGTCAACTTCTTTGTTTGAATGTAAGTTAACTACGTGTCCTTTTCAGATACAATCCATTTTTAGAGATGTGTATCGCAACACCATGAATCACTAAATTTAAAGATAACTTGAACCTGAATTATTGACCATTGATTGAATATATTTCAATTGCCATAGTTGTTTATTTTAAATTAGGACTGGAATAACTGTAAAAGTGACCTTTTTCACATACAACAAACTGACTCATACCTACAGTTACAAATCCACTGACTTTAACAATTGATCTTTGCACTTCAAACAAAGGTGGTGACTCTGAATCCAGAAATGAAGCTTTTCATCTCATTTTGTTCCATTTTGCTTTACAGATGGTAGAATTTAGGTATTATCGGATTACTTTCTAGTGAATAAATGGTCCATAGGCTAGTCTCATAAGCTTAGGGTTACTGGTGTGTGCTGATGAGGAGTTACAAACTAGAACGAAACAACTTTCCAGTACTCCCCGACTTCGAGTGATTCTTTAAATGACAAAATGTGAACAAATTACCGTTGACAAAAGACTAAAACGTGAGCGTTTTTAACTTTAAAAATAAAAATTAGCAGTTCAAACAAAATATCTAAGCTGTAAAATCAGGAGAGCATGTTTTCACTGTATTTTCCTGAATGTAAAATTCTTGAAGTAAGGATTTACTCACCACCTAATTCCTTTCCGGGGGAGGGGGATCGTCTCTTAACCTGAAACTACTTGGGTTAAATTTCCTGTGTATGCTTCTGAAAAGTTACAATTTAGGACTCAACATCTGGCCACCACTCACTGATTTTCAGTAATTCTCTGACCTAAGTCACTATGTTATCTAACTTGAATTCGCTTTGAACTACAAGATGTGATCACTGAAAAAAAATATCCTGACTCATCAAAATGGCAGTTTTGAAGTCAACATCTATTTAGATTGGTTAGCAATTAATATGATTCCAGTGAATAAATACCTTTGCACCAATAATTTAGCAGTTGAAATCAATTCAGCAACATGAATGAGGATTACAGGTGAGTTCAGAGATAATGAATACCTAGGTCTCACAGGTCTGATGAGAAGACTCTAGAATTTCTGGTTTTTGCGAACGATTTATGTCCAATGTCAGGTGATCTATAGGCGAAAGTTAAAATGTTATCAGAATAAGCAAGCAGAGAAGATAGCTAATCAAGTGAACACAGGGAAGATAAAGATAATGGAGACATCTAACCGACAAAAACAATTAGCGAACATATTCACTGGAATTAATTCGAAGGGAGTCACTTCTTCCACTTATCTAGATAGCATAGTTTCAACTATTAGTAGACGGCTTGGAAGATGATGTGACAAGCAGACTAGGTCGGTAAAAAAAGAGACATACTTTCATTAGTCTGAAATCACTGTAAAAATCTTATGCAATCAGCACAGAAAACAAGATTTGTAATTTCAAAAGTCATGTGAAATCCTTTACGGTTCAGAGAAACATTTTTGACAGCTTGATGCAGCTTTTTATGAGTAGCGTTTTGTGCTGCATGTTGAGGAACACATGGTCAGCAAACAAAGGTAAGCAACTGTGGCAACGTGTCAGTCAAGAAACTGTCACCTATTCAACATGCAGAAGGAAATGGAGATGTACTAGACTGTTGAGTAATAGTGCGTGCTATGCCATCGCGTGGAGTCCGAGTGGGTTAACTACGAGTTAGACACCACTTTGAGGGTGACGCGGAGGAAACAATCAATGGATGAGTCAAAGTAGATTGCGGATGATAAGAAGAAGAAGTGGAGATTCACCATTTCTACTCAGAACGCAAGCGAATAATGATAAGAAGACAGTCTGTTAAGTAAATTTAAGTTCAGGAAATCAACAGCCTGGCTTGACTTCCTGACATCATAATCATGTTAAATTAGCCTAATTTCATTTACTCACGCTAAACATGATTAGACCGTTTTTTGTAGACGATAGTTCCACCTGATAAACGCAACTCAGAATGCAGATATAATAGAATCATGTGTTTTGTATAATTTTCATGTTATTCTACGTTCTCACAAACTACACTCTAAAGTATTTCTAGATAAAACTTTAAGTGAATAGTTACCTGTAGGGACAATTGTTATTCTCATTGTAGACTGACTGTCAAACGAAACAGACACTAATATACAAACATAAACACACTTACAGAAAATAAGACAAACAAATGAATATCTCTAAGAAATCTTATTTTAGTTCAAGCAGTTTTTGACACAAATTAACAGATCTGTGTATGGGAATATTTTCCCATCTCGTATACATACAGAGTTCAGTATATTTCCGACAGTAAATTACAAAAATCAATAATGTTATCAGCAGTAAATAATAAGTCAGAGAAATACTCAACACATAACTACCCAAGCATAGAATGCTACCACCAGTACCACTGTGTGTCGTATCACAGAATACTTGTGTTAATGTTACTAACAGCTTGTTTAATTTATCACATGGCAAAATATTTGTAAACAGGACGTCGTTGAATTGGTATTTTAACAAGATATCTGTATTTGTCAGTAAGGATTGAACAGATTGTCGGAACAGTGGACGAATAGGTTGTTCTAATGCCAGAGGATCCATACTGAGCTATGTAAGAGAAAATGTAAGGAAAGAAAATGTATTGATCTGAAAAATGTGACTAAAAAGACCCATTGTGGTGAGAGCAGGCTGTTAGCCAATTGGTAGACATTAATCTACGTCAATGTCTAGGTCACTAATATTGGCCGTGAGAAAATATGAACAAGGCTGATGCAACAACCGATCACAGCAAACTTAACGTGGGCAGATATGATTCGCAGATAGATGGCTCCATTTTCCGAGGTTACGCGAAACAACCAATCAGAAGACTGCGTTTATCTACTTGAATAAGCTATAATAATGTACAGGAAATATGTAGAAATGCGTGTTGATTTCCGTAGTAAAACGATCTGTTGCCAGCCCCTGTCTTCTGTTGTTACACCATGATTGGCAATGGTATGGAAAGCACTGGGTTGGATAACTGGGAGCGACTTGCATAAAATCACACGGGATGAAAATGAAAGATTATAGGTAGTCGTGTAACCAGAGTAAAATGACTGCGGAGAATGGTGTACAATAGAGATGTGCTTCTGACGCCACATATTCCAATTAGATTGCCGGTCACCAGTTATAATAATGATGAGGTATAAATTGGGCAGTTTTGCCTGTTTAACTAATCGGTACAAATCTTCGAGAAAGAATGGGATTTTGGTGTGAGACTAGCGAAAGTACCCGAAAAATCAGCCTAATTTTTACAAAAATTTCAACTCCCAGAAAAAAGTGTAAAAAGTAGAATTATTCTTATTAGATGGTTGGAGGCAATCGGCAGGAATCCTTGGACCTAGGTTTCATGCTAGTTAGCACTCACGAGTCAACAAAGTGTACCTGCTTCCTTGGAGGATCTCATATTCCTTCTGAGATTCGAATCTGCGTCACCCAGTACTGAAGTCAGAGACGTCACCACTGAACTGTTCAAGCCTCCAACCATGTGATATCAACAGTTCAAGTTGCACCATGGTGGTGAGCCACCTAGAATGGTGACCACATTACAAACCAGACTGATAAAATTCAGTCTTCACTAAAGAGAGAACTAGAAACATCACACCAGTTACTAGTGTCCAATCAAAAGTAGATTTATTCTTCGCTGGTATCGTAGAGAGAACGAGGCATACAGGTAAAACCTTCAGTGAGGGAGTCACCCGATGTGTTTTCACTCAAAAAACTCAAAATTAAGAATGAAGATATTGCATGGCTGCAAAGCATTTAAACCTGCTAAGGCTGCATAGGTTGATAAAGAAATAAGATGTGACATATTATTGACAGGAATCTGTGAGAACAGATGGGTTCTCTAAACGTATAACTGGAGAGTAAATATGGTACTCTGGGCACTCAAACGATAAATAAGAAGATGCCAATGGAGCGACAATCGCTGTGCCGCTAGCGACATCCAGATATCTTAAGCAGAGAGTCTCCTACTGTGGTGAGAGCTGGCTGTAAGTCAAAATTGGTGGATAGCAATTTACGCCATTGTTTATGTCCCCAATATTGGTTGTGAGCAAAATGAGAACAAAGACTGATTCAACAACCAACCACAGCAGATATTGCGTTAACATATAGATGATCTGACATCCAAGAAGCAGCCACAAGGAGATGGAAGATTAACTTTCAGCGAGAAACAACCAATCAGAAGACCGTGTTATTCTGATAACAATAATCTTCAATAATATACATAAAAATCTATAAAAGTGTGTTGATTTCCTTAATAAACGATGAGTTGCCTTGCTCTTACCTACTGTTGTTACACTTCTGGAACATTACAGCGAGATTCAACTTCAAAGATAGAAGAAAAACAACCATCCAGTGCTACAAACAACTTAGACCCGTTGAGGAAAGGCGAAGACTTCTACAAGAAATAGCAAGCAATTACAGACCTGATCACGGATGGCAATATCATAATTCTAATAGGTTATATGAATGTCGAATTAGGAACAGGAGATGATGATGGACTCTTGAGACTTAGACGAATTGAAGAATGGCGACAGAGCCTATAAGCACAAGTAGATACACAGTCTGACACTTATTTCATCTGATGGACATAACAGAATCACATAGACTTCATCTTAAACTGAAGCACATAAAGATGCATACTTATGGACACAAAATTCAAAAGAGAAGCAGATATAGATTCGGATCATTATCCTGTGCAAGGCACATTCAAGGTCAAGTTGAAAGTCTTGAAAGAAACTGAAGGCAGACCATAATTCTAGTTCACACACCCTGAAACCTATGGATAAGTCCACAGGAGACAAATCCACAGTTGTCGTCTGGGAAACGTTGCTTCCATTATGTAGCATCATCAAGGAAACCAGCATGGAAGCAGACTGCATCCTCTGAAAGTAATGTTAAGGGAACATTTTTAGCCGTCTTAAGAGGGGTGAATACGTAAGACACCTGGAAGCTAATTCACGAGAGGAGAATTGTGAAACAGAAGAAGGATTGGTGTTTATATGAACAGTTCAAGTAGTTGAAGAAGACGGATACTGTCAGTACTATCTATTCTGTGATGGAGATTCACAGAACGCGGTGTCAAAGAATAGAACAAAACATCCCACTAGAGTAAAATTATGATCAGTAGTGTTAAGACTTTCAAGCCACTTATCTGTGTCTCTCAGCGGACACACACCAGCAAAAGTGATAAGATGAGCAAAATCGATTCTCAAAGACTGTTAACTTTGACGCGATCTAATGAAGCATTAAGGTAATTCAAGGTGCACGTCGCACGTTACACAAACCTATTTAATTAATACAATGCAGTGAACGAAAGACATTTGTGGTTATTAAGTAAAGGATAATGCTTCATGACCGCTAGCACACTAATTTTCAACTGACTGTTTTACTCAGTCATTTTGGGCCGATAATTCAGAATTTATCAGTGTCAAGCACCCATTAATATATGTGTAAAACTTATGCAGTGTGCTAGTAAGTAATTCCATATTAGTTTGTTTATTAGATGTATCAAACAGTCTGTGTGACAGTATTATTTACTGGATGACACAGTTTCGAACAAAATTCATTATTTTTCATAATCATATCAATTATAATCACACGACTTTGAAACTTGAGTTTTGAACTTTTCTTTGTCATCTATTTGTTGTAGGAGTAGTAGGATTTTCCAGATATCTGGGTGGACAGGTGTCGACTCATTCCTATCACATATGTTGGTTTGCAGTTGATTCGATAAACAAAGCTTCTGTTATCAATCTCTCCTTGTACCCTATGACATTAGATTTTAAAACTGCCATCCTATCCCATCCAGCCTATTGAATGATTGTGTGTAACTGCATGTACTGCTATAGCTGAACTATCCTCTAGATTTCTTATCTTATTTGGGTCAACCAATCTAGATTTTGCTAGGTTTTTATGTTTGGTTAGTCTGACTGACTGCCCCTGTTCTACTAGTTTGACCTATGTATTTGACCTGACAATCATTCCAGCTGGGTATTAGATAAACTGAATTGCTTTGTTTTAATGGCTCTACAGGATCCTTTAACCGACAAAGCTTGGTTCTAATTGAGCCTGTGGGTTTGAATGTCACTTTTATTTGCCAGCACTGTTAAGAATTCTGGGGAGGGTTCTGAGGTTCCTTCCTTGTATGGAATTATTACTGATGATTTAGATTCCTTATTGTTGATGTTGTCTTGTGCATATTTGACATGTATATCGTCATTAATATTATTATTATTATCACTATCACTATTATCATTATTTATTTTATTTTTACATTTACTCACGTATTTCTTGACTAATTTATCCAGGTAATTATTAAGTTTCAAGGCTTCTTTTATGAGTATCACTTCCTGTCTCAGATTTTCCTTGGTACCACTTAGTTTTTGTGCTCTGTCACTTAAACATTTCACCAATCCCATTTTTACTCGCATAGGATGGTATGATCAGAAGTCACGCACGCATGTTTATTGTTAAAGACCGTTCAGGAAATGACGTCAGTTAGAGAATCACTGAAAATCACGGATTACTGAAGCGCTTATTTATATAAGAATTGAACATGGGCATTGTAGTGGATTATTGTTCTGTCAAAGATTAAATTTATCTGATGCCTTCTCTCTACACTAATGATCAGAAAGATGATCTGGAGGAATTAGAAATAAGCAATTTTGGTAATGAACCAACCAAGAACCTACCAATCCTCCAACAAATATACCGCTGGATATCGAGGTAGATTCGAAATACGCCGAAGGGATAGTTGAGGCAAATCATCAGGAAGGAAGACTCTCCATTGAGAACTGAATAAAGATTGGTGTGTTGTTCATTCGACGGTGACATGGAGGAGGTCGTATGATGAGGAGATTTAAGGTTATCAGCAACCAAGGGGGCAGCTGAAGGGGACTATAGAGAACGAAGTGATGTGCTTCTGAAGCCATATATTTCACTTCGAATCCAAAAGAAGAATATTAAGCGACTTTTCGAAGATCCTCAACCAACAGAAAACTTTCATTCAAAACATCGTGAAGATCACCACATAACCATATGCAGTCAATAATGTTATGGATAAACTGACAAAATTCCAGCACAAACAGGAACCACAAAAAAACAACACTTACAATTCGAAAATTCTTTAATCCATTGAATATTTCATCAAATTTCCCTGTTAAATTTCTGTTGGCATCAAGTTGTTCAAAAGGAGAAGTTAAAGCATTTAGAGAGGCAGAAATCTGATCATACGTCACCAGTGAATTATTTATCTGTATAATTATATCGATTAAGCTGTTAGCCTGATTGTTAAGCTGAGCAAAGCTTCGCATTACTGATAAATATTCCAAAATCTTTGGTTTCAGTGATGTGAATTTATTGATTTCTTGAATTGTAGACTGATACAAATAAAAAACAAAAAACACGAGGCCTACAGCATATACTACTAACATAATATCAGTAGTAGTGATAAATAGTTAACAATAAACTTGACTAGTTTGCAAATATATAGAGTTAAGTCCTTAACCAGAATAAATCAACGCTCTCTAGCTCTAATCTCAGCTACATGTGCACTAAACAGCCATCTGACGACCAGATTACCTTGAAAAGGAATTAGTTTTAGTCAGTGTGACTGATATAGAGCAACTCAATCTATTTCGGCCTCTATTGGCTAAATAATCACCGAGTTCGTCTTGTTATCGAAAATGGCTGTGCTGGAATCCACAATCTGTAAGAAGACACTGCTACTGGAACTTCGGGGATGAAGCTTGAAGCCTTGTGCTATTCCAAAGAAACCTAGAGTTGAAATCACTTTTTATCCCTCATATAGTGAGCATTAGTTCATGCAATTATCCTATCTGCAGTTATATTTCAAATTTTCACTCCTGTAATATAACAGTAATAAGGTGTGAAAGTTGTTGGTTCAACATTGATGTGTGGAATGTTCCTTTACTTATGATGTCATACCTGTTATCGGTTGTGTATAGGTACACAATACACATCTGTGAAGCATTCAGGGCATTCGGAGTTAGAAGTCTATCATCGCATTGCACTTCGTTCTTTTCTTCAAATCACAGTTGACATGTTAACTCGCTCTTTTCCACAGTCTTCACGGATGAAGTTCACATAAATCACTTGTGTTTCTCAGTCGTGCTTAAGAAATGTTTATTAATGATAACTGGGTATTTAGACAACGACAGTACTGGCAATGCTGAAAACCACATAGAATTCGAATGAATCAGATTTGAATTATTTGAGTTTCATATGATCGAGTCGAAGACGTGCATTTCATCCTTATGTGGACTCTTCAGATGGACGAATATGCATCCTCAGTAAAATCATGGTATTCCCGAAGACACTTGAACCTAGCACTCATTGCTTTAAACATCATCAATTATCCAATGATCTGCTTAGACACAAGATCCGCCTCTTTTGCAACAAGAATAATCTTAAAATACTTATTTATACCCGAGATTTTGATTAGATATATGTGAATCAAATGCATCGACCTAATTGATGAAGCACATATGAGCCGTGAATAAATATATGTTTTGATGAAACTGCTCTGAATACCTATTTGAAGTTGCTTGTTCAGTGATGACCATCAGCAGAATCTTGTATGTTAGCTTCGTTCTCCTCAGGACTTCTTAGATGGTTGAAAGTGCATCTGATACGGGGTATTTGACTTAGTCTGTCATCTTCTCATTAAGATAACCTTACGTTTTCTGATAAATGCTTCATTCTACTGCCGTTTATCTAGGTTGAAGAAAGTTGTTCCGAAATTAAAGCCGTCTTGGTTATCTATGACAACTACCCCATTCTGGTGACATCATTGAGAACAATTTTATTATTTGCAATATATATTCTATGAAACTATGATGAAAAAGAGAAGGCGGTTGCCGGAGATGCCTTAGTGTACCTGATGGTCGATTTTATCAGAGGTGGTCAACTGGTCTGACAAATAGTGCTTTGACGTTTAAGACGATGGCTGTTAGCTTCGGGTTTTACTAGGAACATAATCAATCACAGGCACATCCAAATGTTGAGTCCCTTAGAGAATGGAATTCAAAACAGTCCTGGACTCCATTGTTACGCTAAGTCTTAAATTTCATTCAGTGGACTGACCTGACGTCCGATGATAATGTGACATGTCAGTTTTAGATTGAATTTACCAAGAACTATTTGTGTGAAGATCTGTCTCATGACTGACTGGATAAATAAAACGATTAACCCGTAAAGAATCAGATGGTAACAAATTTGTTTTCATTTAAAAAAATGCAGCGTGAGCATAAACACTATCACTCAAAATGAAGTTTTGCGTAGACAACCACCCCTATGAGAATACAATCACTGCAATCCTGTTGTTGATGAGTTTACCGGCGAAAATTAAGCTCCCCTACTATAAGACATTCAATACTGCATACAAATTACTTCTTCAAAAACACAGTTAACTAAATTAAAGAGAGAAGGCCGTAAAATTAGTCAAAAATGATTCATCTAGCCATGTTTTCATAGGGATTTTTTTGTTTTATGACTGCTTGCATTCTGCGTGTAAACATCATACTCTGCCCTGCTAGAACCAGTGGACCATTTTGCTTTGACATCCATCAAAATTCATCCTTCTTAGTACATTTTAGAATGCTTTTATCATCCGATCGCCTCCATGAATCCCAATCCACTCTTAGGCGAATTGTCAAATTCACTAACATTGAAGAGTTCAAAACCAGGACGAAACAACTGCCCAGTACTCACTTACTATATTTGTGATTATTATCGTTATTTTAACATACAAAACAGGACATAAGTTTACATATTTCGCTCACCTTATAATCTTTTCCATCTAAATAAACGGATAATTTTCTCACCAGTGTTGTTAAACTATCCAAATCTGATGGTATGAATGCAGAGAAATCCATTTTCACGATCTCATTGACAGTTGAACTTGTTGGTGTAAAAGAGTGACAAAACGAAGTAGGAGTGATTGAAAAAGAAAAAGATGAACCAAAAACAGTCAATAAAGTCGTTTCTCAGTTAAAATATCAATTTTTAATAAATGCTAGTCAAAATTCTGTTTTGGGTAGATTTAATTGATATTGTAGCGTGTGTTACTGATAGGATTTATCAGTAGTATAAAAAGGGACGTTCATCGGCATAAAATACATCAAATAACAGAGAGATGGATTCGATTTCAGAGAAAGCAAATATAATAGCGTTGCTGAGGTACATGGGAGACGTGAAAAGAAACGTAATATGAAGGCCAGAAGTATCAAGCACAACACGTAATATCTTTGTAGACGGTGGTTTGAAGAAATGGTGTACTGAATTTCGTTATATAGAGTCACTAAAATTCCAAATAAGCATTCCTAATCAAATCTCTCGTTTTCTGTCGTTACAGTTTCAACATGGGTTTACAACGAGATCTCCAAAATTCCTAGTATTGGCAGACCTATTTATGGCCAAATACGAACGGAAATCTGTTATAACGTTTGTTGCGGTTCCTAGATTACAGTAGAGATATGTGGAGGTATGATGGAACCGGAGCATATACACAATTTCTTCACACATGTCAGCGTATTAGTAGACAACATCTAGTTCACCTTCAAGTTCGAAAGTGTCATATTCTGAGGGAGCATTTTAGTCATGGTAGGAGATCCCAAAACTCAGCAAAGCCTGGTCGTAACGACGTTATTCCCTAAAATTTCGTGCGCCCGACATCACTGAAGCAGTTCCAGATATGCTGAAAATTGTACTAAGAAACAGGACGGAATAGAGATAAATGAGTCAGGTTATGTAGAAGGAACATCAATGATTTGACTATGAGCACTGTGCCAACGCGCTATATCGAATAATCGTATATAATATGGAATTATACATTAAACAGCAATGGTCAAATTTTACACTCATATTTCTCAACACTGCCTTCATCTAACTGATGTTAAGTGAAGTGTTTGTTGTATGGGTCTGATTTCATTTTGAGCGAATATCAGATAGTCGGTTACTGAATAAGAATTCAGTCTACAAAACTGTTTATTCCTAGATTGACGCAATCTTTCAACCATTAAGTATCCACAATCAAACCAAGAACAAGGACTAAACTCTTCAGACTATACGTCAGTTAGGCTTCCCATTCATTCGGTGAGTCATGCGGATTTATCTGATCTAATATCCTATTTAAGAGAGACATATTCTTTCTAAAGATCTATGGAATTCATCTTGAACTTAGTACATCTTTATATTACAGCACATTATGATAATCCATACTGTTCGAATGATGGGAGAATGTGAAGTATAAGATTACAGATAGATATACCGTTCCCATTAGGGACTCTTGGTGTATGAAAAAAAAGATTAAATGCAGTAACATCTTGTGAAGGTGGTTCTGCGGTAGAACGCTGGCTAACCACGCATGTGGTCCGTGGTTTGATTTCCGGCCGACGCACTCCTAAACCTCCTTAAGCCGCTAAAAAGCCTGGTAAGGAAGGAAGGTTAAGCTAATGTAAGACAAGCAAGCCTGACTCGTAAAAATAAGATAACAACTATCGAAACTTCAAAGCTCTAGCTTGAAGTCTTATGCTCCACTTGAAACGTAAAGGAATTAAATAATAAATAAAAATAATTAGTAATACGTTATTTATGACCTTGGAAATTCACCCTACCTAGAACTATCCCTGGTCGGATGATGTCATATTGAATTTAATAACTAACAGGTGCACAAACTGTTCTGTTGCTCATGCCCCCTTGGAGAATGCTTCAACGCTAAGGCGTGACCCAAGTCTTCATCAACCTCATTAAACTGCTATATGACAATAACACGTGTCAGGTGATCCACAAAGGAAAACTCAGCAAGGAGTTTGAAGTGCATACAGGAGTAAGGCAAGTCTGGCTGCCTATTACCACCGATGATATTCCTAATTGTGATGGACTGGAATATGCGCCAGACTGTGGTTGGGAGTGAGAAGATGGGAATACGCTGGACCGATAAGAAGACTGTAGCAGATCTGGACTTCACGTGTGAATGATTCTTTCTAATGTCACATAAACCTGAAGACTTGCAGGTGGAAACCAACAAAACTGGCAGAAGAGGCGAGTAGCGAAGACGAGACTTCAGGTGAATATAGAGAAAGACGGAGGTGATGCAGATAACTAAACAACAGCAACAGAAACCAGCACCAATCACCATCAACGGGATAAATTTGAGAAGGGAAACTTCCTGCACTTACCTAGGAAGCAAGTTTCGAACCGCAGATAGAGGGAATGGAATAAGATGTCACACCCAGCCAACCATAATTGAAAAGGCTAGATATGCCTTCATCAACCTGAACACAGTTTGTAAATCTTATCCACTCAGCTAGCATAAAGAACAGGATTCGGATTCTGTTCAACATAAATGTGAAGTCGGTTCTTCTATACGGGCCAGAAAATTGGTCAGCCTGTCACAAGAAGCATGTCTAACAAGTTAAAGACTTTTATAAACAGCTGTCTACTTCGCTGGCTCTATACTGAAGATCAGATAGATAGCCAGAAATAGTAAGTAACAAGAAATTTTGACAATTGACGAATCAACGGAGAGCCGATCGCTCAACAAATATGTAGGAGAAAATGGAGATGGATTGGATGGGGATACGTTCAGCAGGCCGTCGAATGACATCGCGCACGATGAAGGCCACCACTCGAGTGGAATCTTAGTAGGAAGAGACGAGTGGGTCGTTGGTGCGAGAGTGACATGGAGGAGTTCACGTGAGGAAGAGATGAGAGATCAATATTGGACGCAGTTGAATAGGACAGCAGAAAACAGAAGAAAGTGGAGATGTATTTTTGAGGCTCCATGTTTCACTTGGAACCAAAGGGAATAATAATAATTTATGTCACCGATATTCATGCCTCCTATGGCTGTCAGTAATAGTAATAATAATTTTTAAACCCAGAGAAGCATGAGTAGGTTATCTGCTATCACCAACGATATTGCTGATTGTGGTGGACTGGTTCATGCAATAGCTCGTCCGGAGACAGAAGGTGGCTATACACTAAACCAACGAGATCTGCACGATAATTATGTCAATGTAACACTAACTTGAAGACAAAAACTTAGACACTAGCAAATAGCCAAATGAGGAGGCGAAAATACGACTTCAAGTGAACGTAATGGAGACAGAGACGACGAAGGCACCTAACCAACAACGAAAAACTTCAATCTCTACCATTTTCAGAAGTATGAAAGAAGTGATCCGTTATATTTATCTAGGCAGATCGAACTGTAAAATTCAGCTACAGTCTGTAAAGTAGACCTTCCATATTCTGATTTATTGTAGAAATCCGTTACACTCACCTTTAACAACAGGATTGATATCTTTAACACTTATTTGAAATCAGTGCTTCGATATAGTTCAGAGACTTGGAGCGTCATGTTGAGCAGTTCTAGTAAGCTTCAGATCTTCACCAACACTCATCCACTCTGCTTGGAACTGAATTTCAAATGGTCAGTCGATCGGTAGGTCTGATAAGAAAATCAGCTAGGTACTCAATCGGAGACCCCACGAGGACCAAACGCCCAACCAGTATGATGAGGGAAATGTAGATATGTCACCATTGATTGCCATCACACTTAAGGCAGGTCCTTGGGTAGAATTTAAATGGTGGACAACCAGTTGTTGGTGGAGGGCGACATGAAGGAGATCGTCTGAGGAGAAATAAGAGGCTTATAGGGATTTCGGGGGCACATAAGACAGTGAAATTCCCATATGTTGTAAAAGAGGTACGTTCCCCTCGGAATCCAAGAGAATAATGATAAAATGCACACAAACTGGGTAGAACAGTTCACCCCAGCTATTCTACGACTGCAATGGAAAGCATGTACTAACACCAAGTAAAAGTAATATATTTCCAGAGTTTTTGATGTGTGTATAAATATTCTAGGAATCACAGACAAACATTACCGCTTTACTGTGTCCCTTTTAATAAGAGTGCTTGCGTGTAATAATTTACTACATCTTTAAGTAAATTTTCATTGATAAATGGTCCTTTGGATTCAGCAGTCAACTCTCGGACATCAAACACCTGTTCCGGGAAGTAAATTTAAACCCTTCTGAGACTGCAGATATTCTATCTCAGTACCTTCGAGCAAGATTTCGAAACGAATTAATACATTAATAGAAGCAGATGAGGAAAAATCAAAACTCACAACTCACTTCTCCGTTTCATTTATCTTCTGTTGTAATTCAGGCGAATACAATACCTTCTCAAAATTGATTATATCACCGTAGTTCAATAGTTTCAATAGACCGTAACGTTGACTGGCCTGACTACCATTTAGTATGGATGGCTTACATTTATTCCTTAGTGTTGAATAAACACGTTTAGGTGCTGGGAAATTTAACAAATTCAGCACCTGATTTGAAAGTGTCCTGTTTGTAAATAAAGAATTTATCCATTCATATTGAAGATAAAGATCCAGTACAAGATCGGTTATCACAATTCCTGAATCCGCATTCGCATAACGACACACTTCTGTGTCTGTGATAATTAACAATGGCAGTATGAGGAATAAAGCTGATAGAATTAAAATTGTTACACAAAGACTCAACACTGTACATGTGATAGTTATACACTTTATAAGCACTGGATTATTAATATGCGGAAGATAAACAGTTCGATTTAATTCGAGGAGGAGAACAGATTTTGCACCATCCACTCCATAAAATTGTAATGTGTATACTTTTCTCTGATCGTCTACAAAAGAAACACAGGGAAAATAACAAGTGGTACGTTATTGAACAGAATAAAACTTTAGAATACTAGTTTTGTAGGGACCAGAAGGTCCTGGGTTCGAACCCCGGTGGGTACGTACTGATGAAGAGTCCCAAACTAGGCTGACGAAACAGCCGTCCAGTACTTCAGTGGTGGTTTTCCAATGGTTCTCTAACCAATGTCAACTCATGATGAAATCCTGTTACCAATCAACTAAATCCCTAAAAACCAACATTTAAATAGGGATTTTTTGTTTGATTGCATGGAGGATTTCATCATGAGCTGACACATCAGTCAGAGGACCACTGAAAAACCTGGGAGTACTGGACAGCTGTTTCGTCGGCCTAGTTTGGAGCTCTTCAGCAGTACGCAACTACCGGGGTTTGATGTCAGCTGATGATGAAATCCTCCATGCAGGAATAAAACTTGACTGTGGATTCACTTCAAAATGAAGTTTATTTTAAAGAAACAGGTTGTAAACTGCTAACAGAGTAACAGCAGAAGACAAGATACGGAGGAACCGTTGTTCACATATCTACAGTTTATATTCGTTAACCAATCGCTGAGCGTACGTTTTCGGTTAACATTAAACGACATGAAATAGAATGTTCAAATATATATATATATATATATATATATATATATATATGTTTTCTTTTGTTAATGTAGTATATAACCGTGGGAGAAGTATTCTGTCTCTAACATCAAACAGAATGTTCAATTCGACACATTGTGTTCTGTTGCTTATGGCGAATTGAACTGTGAGAATATGTGAGAATAATATTTCGTTGGTACACACTGTCTGTATCACACCACGACAACATGATCATTCATTAATGCCACTTAGTGACCTTGAATCACTAATCCCAATGTAAGCCCCCATTGTAACCATACCACCAACTGTCTTCATTGTTTATTGGATTTCTAAACATCATACTTCGTGCTTAAACAGGAGGAAAATGTTCATTTGGACATTTAAAATAAAGTCGACGTTATTAAAACAGCTCTTTAATGTTATCCACTGTATTTCAATGAATATGAAGGTCCTATTAAAATGTGTTAGATAACATTACCCAGCACGGCTGCAAAGAAGAGGCAGTGGTTTCATCAGAAACGGCATAATCGACCACCTTGTCACCACGTATCACAGCATCTCAACTAACTCATTCATTCGGAGTCATTTTAAAGTAAACAAAAATCCCAATTCTGTGTACCGCAGAAGCCCCGCAACATACTTCGGGAAATCGGAGCTGTGCGTTCTGAAGAAACTGACTCAACCCCTACATTTACTATAGATCTAGTTCTGTTTGTCTTCTTTAGACCAGTCTTTTCATCCTGCATAAAATGGGCAAAAGCCATACTATCAAACCTCCTACACCCCACCCCTTTATTCACAACTATCCCCTTGCATTTTATCAGGTAGGACGAGAAGTCAATATAAAAAGTTATGTGTTCACACCATTAAGTACAAAAATTCTACAATACCGTACTTAGCCCGTATTTTATGTGAAGGAGATACTGTTAGACGTGACAAATATAATTTACTATGTAATTAGCAAAGTGAATCGTTCATCTTTCTGTAATTTTATGCTGACAGCCTTTCAATCGTTTAAATATAACTCTGCTATTTTATTTTAGTTGGTATTACTACTATTACTACAATTTTATACTTTATGCATATATTTCTCCTTATCGCATGCTGTAATTTGCTACATAGCTGCTATAACAACGTTTTGTTATTATTACGTAATTTTTTTTGTCGTTTTGAGTAAATTAGATGCAATATGGTACTGAATGCTGAAAATTCTTTGTTGTATCATTAGTACTGTATTTGGAATAAAGCAAAAATTATTATTGTTATTAATGGTAGTTAGTCAGATCGAAGTGATCTCAACACATGATAGTCATTTAGCTCGTTTGCCGTTGAGTACATTAAGTGAATACCCAGATCAATGAAATCGTCTTGCATTCTAGTTAGCTAGTCACTACAGCTAACTAATTTGCAAATGTCAACTAATTTAATGGTAATTAGTTTGGATACCTTAGCAACTCTATCAACCAAACACATCATGATCATTATGGAATGAAGGACAACAAAGCAATAGAGCAGACTCACCTTTAGAATTGATTTGACAGACGAACAGCTGTCTTTCATATGCGTCTGTTGTATGCAAAATACAGTAGACTGTCAGCAGTGTTATACAGGACATGAGAAGAGTGACTAATAAATATCCGATAACAGATATAAGATAAGATGTCAGTGTTAAAATGTTATCAATTTCCTGCTGTTTCTCTTTACTGAGAAATGATTTCACATTGTCCAATAAACTTTTGCGAAGTAACGACCATATACCGGTAAACTGTTGAAGGTATTCAGTCAAATTAAATGTTGACTTCATCTAAATATGAAAAATTTGATAAAGAAAACTGCCATAATCTTCACTTTTGACCTTGGACTGATGTTAGTGAGGAAACCATTGAAAAAAACGACGAAGTACTCAACAGCTGTTTATTTCTAGTTTTCACCTACTGGGAAGTGAAGCCAGAATCTCTGGTTACAAGTCAAACTCGTAGACCATTCAGCCATTGGGACTCGACTTAATGGTCCATAAGTTCTATCTGCTACCACTTTATCTTTTTTGGTGCGACCACCAGCCAATGTCGACGACGAGTATTTGTCGCCCCTCTCAACTGGGTGGATGCTACTCTTCACGAATTCTCACTAGAACTGCAGGCACTAAAGGGCTATTCAGATTAATTTTCAAAAGTTGTTTTGTAGCCAGTGTGATCTACCTCCAGTTTCATCATGGATTGACATCAGCTAGTGGAGTGTACGGGGTTTGATCAAAATCAGGAATTGATAGAATTCACTATTCATTGGCCATTGAGTTGAGTCTCAGTGGCCGAATAGTCTACGAGCTGGATTTGTGACCGAAACATCCTGTATTCTTGTCCAGCGCGTGCGTAATTCTGAAGAGTCAAAGTAGGAAGTATCAACTATCCAGTACTCTATAGTATTCAGTGATTCTCTGACCGATATCGATCCGTAGTTAAACTTGAAAAAAATCGAATCATTACAAACTAGCCGCGGTAAATTATGATTTTCGCTTAGCAATTTAATTCGTATTGTTAACTTCATTGTTTTCGAGATTCGGAATGATGTTCTTGCGAGTATAGCTATTTTGCAGGGTCTAGTTGGGTCTGCTTTGGTCAAGAAACCACTTTAGAGATCTGAAGTAGGGTGGAAAGAGATACTGGTTTTTATCTCTCATATCCATATATCCCCTGGTTCTGTACGGTTTAAAGACTTAGTGGGTAGTCACTAAATGGTGTTTCGAACAGGTCACCTCAGTAGTTCATCAGTAGCTGACAACCACTCTCGATTTTGAAGATAAAACAGTTTGCCACCAGAGAGGATAATTTAACGCAGGATTCTGAAAGGCAGTGCATCAACCAACGATACATTGCTCAGTGGACATAGATAAGGACATAGAGATGGCCTGGACATGCTCTGTGGAGACTTTCAGGTAACATCACATATCAGACAGGCTGCAAGGTGAAATGCAAATGTAAAGCAACGATTTGCGGGTGGGTGCATTAGTGACGTGAAGAAGAGTATGTGAAGATGAAATGAAGCCAGTTAAGAAGTCGTGGAGCTGGCTGAAAATGGCAGTGTAGAGCCTAGTAAATGTGGAGATGCGCTACTGAAGTCCTCTCTGCCGTTCAAAATGTAAAGAAATAATAAAACAGTTGAATCTGATTGCAAATGATTAGTGCATAGTCCTGGCAACTACAGGCAATCCCTGGCGATAAGTGATTTCTGCGGGTTACTTTATTCATTTTCCAACATCAAGGAATATTGAAAGTATACGTTGATAATCAGTACTGCGGACTTGTAATAACCACAGCACTCTGTTAATACTCCGAACTGAGCAGAATGGTAACAAATACCCCATTACTGCGGTATAGTAGGAGTTAACTGACCAATAATCGTTGATTCAGGTTTTAGCTATTTGTTTCAAACATTCGAGTAGTTGAAATACCGATTGAAGTTCATATGAATAAAGATGTATCTTATTGATTAGTGTCGACATATGTTAGCTCATGTTTCATAGATTTTTGCATATTCTCCTAGACTACTGAAGACGTTTCAAAATTAACATATTCTTTGAGTAAACGAAGCTGCACAAAAGATATGTCGACCATTAATTTTTGTAATCTGTCAAGACAATTTTTGATTCTGAGTATCTGTAATAACTGTCATCCTTCAGATGCATTAACACTCAAAAACATCAATCAAATATTTTGCCTTTGAACTTATTAAGACTGACAAGAAGAGATGTGTGGAGTCCGATGGAAAAAGTATATCCACAGAGGACTCTATTGGTTTGGCTAACCAACAGATTTTGACGGTTGAATACCAACCTTTGATTCGGAAAAGTGCTCACATCACTTACACTGCTCACCATCTCCTAGGGAACTTCAGCATCAACTGCTTCATAATCGTATCCTCACCTAAAATGGATACCTGAGAAAGATTTGTGGAGTTGAACATTGGACCCAAGTCAAAGAAATTCTTTTGCATGGACATAAACTTTAGACAAGACAGTAGCAGATATTCTAAAGAGTGGAAATTCTAGTTCCTTATAGAAGTTACTTTATTTCAGAAACTCTAAAAGTGGAATTCTATCACCACCTGTTGGTTTAAGCTATTTGAAGGGTTAATTCAGGTATGCGAACACTCAAATGCGCGTAGACCCGTTCACTCGCCACTTTGCAGATAGATACACAGATCGCTCCATTTTGTGAACTTCTTAATTTTTTTAACTTCTAAATTGAATTCGACATAATGTTTAAGTTTATCTCGAACCCCGAACACTAAAACCTTTTTGGCTCTAGAAACGACTAGTGCTGGGTCCAGGTTTTATTGTGTAGACCACCACTCACTGAAAACGCAGATGCATCCGGCTGATAAAAATGCTTGATTTCATGTATCAGAACATTTTGATTCAAGGGAAATCATTTACACAGGATTTACAAAACCTATGGTTTCATTAAATAACAACTTATGCCTGAAGCCTGGCAGATGTTGTTTTGGCTGCTGAAACAGTAAACGTCGGTAGACTATGAGTCTCAGCTAGAACATTTTGATTTAATGAAGATGTAGGTGTGTGGTGGGAACTGACGACGAACAAGTCGAAATTGTAGACAACAATATAAGTCAATGTTACGTCTCAAATTAGAGCCATGAGAAAATCACCAACTAATCACAGAGAACTAAACGTATGGAAATAGGATTCGCAGATATCGTTTTTCTTTCCTTCACGTTCCCAGTGGAACATATGGCTTCAAGCTAGTGGCTTGAAGTTTCTGTAGCAGTGTTTATTTTTTACAGGATGAGATTGCAAGCCTCATGCCCAACCTTTCCTCTTTACCATCATTCTTTCTGGCCTAGCGAGGTAAAAGAGTGCGTCGGCAGGGGATCGAATCCCGGACCATGTGCATGGTCAGCGAGTGTCCTAACCACTGTGCCACCGACACACACATATACGCAGACATATGGCTTCATTTTCTGAGCAACATTCGCGAAAGCAATGCAGAATAACCTTTAGCAAGAAAACAACAAGTCCGAAGAGGTTTCATCTCCTCTGACAATAATACACAAGAAAATCTATGAATATCACTTGATTTTCTCAATAAACAATCTGTTGTCTAGCCTTTATCTTCTGTCATTATAGGTAGACACATGTAGATGACAAGTCTCATAAAGGACAAAAAAATGCACTTTGGAATCCACTGTAAGCCACCACCAGCACCAAACTTATTCGACACAAATACTAGTGTGTTTCTACAGTCAGTTTTTTTTTATTACAGCTTGACTCCACACTGCATTTCTGGTACAAGTATGGAATTTTCAGCGTGGATATCGGTAGTCCAAATTTCGCAAGCCGACCATAGATATCAGGTGTGCGTCGGCGTGGGCTCGAACCCCGGACCATGTGCATGGTCGGCAAGAATCCTAACCACTGTGCCACCGACGCACTATATATGTGAATTTGCAAATAAAGAACGGAGGCTGAAAACAGGAATATCGTCTTGTCATTATAACCAAGTAAGCATTGAATATGATAAACTAAAAGAAGACCTACTGTTTGTACTACTCCATTTTTCTTTTGCGTCAAAATATCCTTTGTCACTTCAAGTTGATCTGTTAATGAATTCAAATTGATATTTAAATCACGCATTAAAAATACCATTACAGCGCTAGATTCCAGTTCGAATTTTTGTGTGTCTACAGACACGAGTAAAATTGAACTTTGAAGCTATTAAAAACAGAAGAAACAGTTGATTGATAAGTTAAAAACAAAGAATAGACGTCTAGTTTTGTTCAAAAATGGTAAATATGCATAGATAATGTATTCATTTGGATTGTGATTTTGAGACTGAGTGGTGAAGGACTAATGTTAACCACCTGTTATTGTATCTTTCATTTCAGCAGCCCCTATGGGGCTAGCTATATTGACCATTGTTCCAGGAGCTTAATTTTTGTATTTGATACCTCACTGTACCAAAGACGACACTGACAGATCAGGGCCCCTGAAATGCATGCGAAGAATACATTCCCTGTTTGGAACCGCTGGGGATCAAGATCATCCACAAACAAATGGTCTGACTGAGAGAAATAACCGTACATTGAAGGAGTAGCCTGCCTCGAAGGGAGGTAAGTGAGAGATAGAGCTTCCATTGATTCTACTACCACATTGTGCGTCCACTCAGGAAACAACAAAGAAGTAGCCATTTCAGTTGATGTATGGGGGGAAACCACGATTACCAATATACAGCACAACCTGGCCCCTCCATCAAGAATAGAATATGAAGAAGCTGCAAACGGAACAGAAAGAAGCCATCCTGAATGTGAAATGTAAACAGAAGAAAGACGCTGTGAAATCAGAATAGAAAGGAGTATATGCGATGCGGAACCTTTGAGGTCGGTGATCAAGTAAAGTGTAGAAATAGAGAGGATGAGGTTAGATGTGGGCCAGGTTGACAGAAACTCTTCTCAAAGTAGTAAAGGCTATACACTGTAACTGACAGACGTGGTCCTGAAAGAGAAAATAAACATAAACGGGTTAACTTAGACGTAAGGAAGACGGGATCAAGCTACAGCAGGAATGCGTAGAACCAAGAAGGCCAGAATGGTTCCATTCGAGACTATTTGATGGGAAGGAACAGTGTTGCGTGTATTACTGATACGACATATCAGTAGTGTATGAAGAGATGTTCACCGGTATAAAAATATCAAATATGAGGGGACAGATTTGATGGCCAAGAGGGCAAATGATTCAGATTCAGGAAGACCAAGAAATACAATGCGAAGGAAAGAATTAGCAAAGCGTGGAAGATCTGTTCGGGTCATAATTTAGAGATAAGACATTTTGGAACCTAAAAATAAGGAAGTTACAGAAAATGTAAATCAGCCTTGAAAAATCTGCTTATAAACTTCTCAAACTCGTCAGCTTGAAGCGTTAACCCGAGTCCTCATTGGGCAGTAGGATTCTCACTGACCATTTCAGACGTCAAAATACTCTCTACAGTACTCATGAGACATTTATGGAGAAAAAAGCATCGGTCGGTTTTCATATTACCGAAATGATATGATGCCTTAGATGAATGATGTTGGTTTTTTGTCTCAATGAGAAAGATATGAGTCATTTGCGATGCTCATTTATCCAAAGTAGAGAGTCCAAAGTAGAAAAGGGTAGCCAGAGAGTCAGCAGGATGAGTCAATCTCCTTTCCACCTAAATATGCATACTTTTACATTTTTGTTAGATGGAAACATCCACTACGATATCGGGGATCAAAACAAGGACTTTCAAGCTACAAGGTGTGTTGGTTGGCTGTTTACCCACTGAGATAAAGTCCAATGGCGTATGAATTCTAAATTCTGTCGACTCACAGTGTTTAGCGCCACCCCCAGCCAGTGTCATTCGCGAGTGCCTTACCTGACACCGGACCCAGTGGACCTCACTAGAAGTGATTTTTAACTCCAGGGAACTTAGTCCTGTAGTCGGTCACTAGTGAACATCGGATTAATTTTCAAGTGTTCTTTGTAGGAATTTGATTGGATTTTGACTTTATGAATAGTTAGTACATGATCAATGGCTGCAAGGCAAACCATTTGGAGTTATGGGCACATACTCATGAAGAGTCGTAAGCAAAGACGTTGCAACTGTCTAGTAATCCATGAATTCTAGTGTTGTTCTGAATGATATCATTTCCTCGTTGAACTTGAGACTTATCAAATCCCTGCCAATCAACAACTGGAAATTACTCTAATGTTCACTATTGACTGACTTCATGATGAAGTTGTAATAAAAATTGGTGGCTATTGGTAGGCGATGATGCTCTAAATCGTTACTTTTGGAAATACCCGAAAACATTTCAACAACATTCTTCAACACCATAACATTCATCACCCCTCAAATCATCTGTTACATATCACCCTCAAAGCGCCTCTTTGTCAATCACTTCCCAATCAGGTCTCATTTGATAGCCTGGTGTGTCTGATATCACTTGAATATCAGCTTATTTCCCATCCACCTGCATTTCCCTCTGAATATATTTTGGACGACGTGTTGCTTGGCACTTTTTGCCAATGACACTGAGCTGGCGATTGCAGTGAAAATTGTGAATCAGCAGAATTGATAATTATTGAGACAGTGAATTCTATTCTAATGACTGACTTGTGGGTGTATCCACCTCATAACCTGAAAGTACCAGGTTCGATTCTTAGTGATGGGATCACAGATACGTGCTGATGAAGGGGAATGCCAAATAGTGGAACGAAATATCCATTCGGTGCTCCCTCGCTCCTAGTGGTTCTTGGATCAAACTTCTATCAAACTTGAAACCAGTCTAATCCCTTCAAACCAACAGTTGAAAAGAAATTACAGTTTTTCCGATAGAATTTCATTATGGTTTTGTAAAGGAGTCAACATACACACACAGAGAGAGAGACAAAACATGAATTTATCTACCTGTAACTCTTTGCACTTGATGCTATCCACAGTATTTTCTCCTAATTGTCTACAAATTGTATTGAATGATGCATTCAGTATATTGGCATAACCACGCAGTTCACCGATATAATTATTAACATCTTGGACAATCTTTTGTTGTGAATTAATTGTCTTACTAGCCATTATGGTTTCATTCAAACTTTGTGTTATCAAATCAGCAGTATTCAACACCGAGTGAGTTTATATGCATCCAATAGAGATGTCATTATTGTGCCAACAGTTGACATCAGTTGTTTCTGTGCAAAAGAGGGAGAAAAAATCTAAGATTATTTGTAAAGATAGTTAATTCTCACCAGTACTACTTAAGTTCAGGTATTAAGTTTAGGAAGAGTTGAGGAATATATAGGTACCTTTCGCTTTCTCTGAACTGTACCAAATGATGCGTTAGTCCTCTGCACAAAGAATGATGAGAACATTATCAGTAAGATGTAGAAGACTCGAACGATGAAAGGTATCTCCACGAGGTTAGGCCATCTAGCGTTGACTAGTATTTTCACATACGTCTTAGTTTTTTTGGCCGAGGTATGTCACATGATCATCACTGGTCTATATGGTGTGACACAGCTTTACTTCTTAGTGTAACCGAAATCAACCAGTGGAAGGTGGAAGGTTCTGCTTGCGCTGCAGTAATACGTGAACCATATGTACAACTCAGCCTTGAATCTGGACTATTCAGATCTCAAGTCATGGAGTTGATCATTAAACTATTCAAGTCATTACAAACTACCAGTAGGAATGGCTGATGTACACAAACAAATTAATAATATAGACTTTTATTCCTAAATGAGGGCCAGCTAATATACAAGGAGCTTTGATTTATGGCTTTCTGTCATGTAAATCCTCGAAATATATAAGCAAATATATCACGTAGATATTTCCTATTCAGTTACGAATGACAAAAGATGTTGGCAGAGACACGCTGAGGAGACCGTTGCTGACATCACACGCTAGTCCTGAATAAGAAATGATGTCTTGGGCGTCACTTCGATGGTCAAATGGGGGGGGGGAGGAGAGGAGAGTAGACATTATCAGTAATTATGTAACCAGCTAAAGAAGATTGAAGAGAACAAGGTGAGATGGAGATGTGCTGTTGAAGACCTATGCTCCATATTGGACTCGAGGAAATAGTCATGATGGAATCAAGCACTTAGCAAATAGAGTTCATATTCTTTCACCCAAATCGTTGTGATCCCCACTGACCTGAAGTTATATATTAACAAATGGACGCGCACCTTGAACTTATACTAGATGAATGACTGGAGTATGTTTCTGCGAAGGATCATTTTAACCACTGTGACTAAAATACGCTGTACTTCAGGGTCAAACCTTGAGTGATATTTTAGATTAATAAAATTGAAACTTTAATAGTTTTGGGGGGATCATTTTAAAAAAGGGAAGCCAGGCAGCTTGCTTAAAACTTTGGCTACTGAAAAACTTCCATCCTCAAGTGCATATATTTTCTCACGTTCGGTGTCCTTTAATCGACTAAGATATGACCTCTAGTGGTATTACTATATATTCTTTTGGGTATTTAAAATGTTTACAAGCTTCTGTTTCGCAAGTTCCTACTGAATTTGAGGGAAGACCTGATTGTGGGTGGCAATGTGTTCATGTCCTAGGGTTTCAAAATTTACTTCTGAACATCTTACAACTGGCTTTCAAACAGATCGATATTGTGGATTGATTTCCTGAAGGAGAGATAAAGTAGATATATCACATAATGGAATAGTTTGTGCTTCAGTTCAGAGATCACTGTGTATCACAAGAAGGTTATACAATCAGCTAATATTTTACCTGAAGGCATTGTACGAACGGAAAATATGATGTGACAAATTCCTCTGAAAATTCTGTGCATTTTATGAATACTGTCAGGAATAAAGACTTTACTATTATTGATTTTAAATTTCCCTTGAAAGACACAGCGTTTTGTGGTGACCTAATTTACAGAATATTAGTAATTACTGTCTTAGTTTGCAGACCCACTCAAGTTCCATTTGAGGGCCTGGAAAGCATTTCATAATTCATTTTACAGCTGTGTACATGCTTGATAGTGTCTTCAATTTTTATGTATGAATCGTTGTATGAAAACATACTGTCAATAGAATCATCAAAAGTGAATACTCATTAGCGGTTGACATAACCACTCAGAGGTAGCCTATAATCGTCTTAAACCTATTGGAAGTATTACTTCACGATTGTATGGTTTTCCCAAAGTACATAAACCAGGAATTCCTCTTCGCCCAGTCCTAGATATGTCTAATTCCACCAACCACGAGTGGAAAAGTGGCTAAGTGAACTCCTCCAACCATTACACAAGATGGTAGTAAATCATAGTGTTAAAGGCGTTTTTGAATTCATTGCTAACATGGGTGATATCAGTGTAAATGGGAAGCAAATGCTATACTTAGGTGTAGCCTCACTGTTCACCAATGTACTACTTATGGAGACTGTGGAATTCATATGGAAACAGATACTAGAAAAACAATTCGACATTGGAATTCCAATTATTAGTCTGAAAGAGCTGCTTTTAAGATGCACTATGAGTGTACACTTCACATTCAACAACCTTTATTACAGGCAAATCGACGTCATTGCCATGGGTTCTTCATTGGGGCTAATTTTGGCAGATTTCTTTCTTGTCAAGGTTGAAAATAGTCCATTGAAACATGTAAAAAAACCGATTCTTATTTCGGTATGTTGATGATACGTTTATGCTTCTCGGTGTGAAAGTTGACAATAATGAAATGTTAATCAAATTCAATGATGAACATCCATCGCTCATCTTCACATGTGAGGAAGAACATGATGATTAATCTACATTTCCTTGACGTCCAATTGAGCAGATGAGAGGATGGTTAACTCGAAAGAGATGTCTATAGAAAACCTACATCTGTAGGACAATATACATATTTCCTCAGTTTTGTACCAATTCGATACAAAATCAAATTGGTAAGATGCCTTACGAATACAGCAATATGTATCTTTACAGATAACTCCCTAGAAAATGAGCTAGGATACATCCAAAATACGTTTTATTTTGGCTCATTTGATTGAAAGCGGTCATCCAGTGGACGGAAATAGCACCCTCAAAGTTATCTATTGCATTCCACGGAGCCTTTTGAAAGGAATAAGAACCCGTCTTTCACACTTAGCCGAAGCTATGGGAATTAATTTGAGAGAACAGTCCTAGTCTTTGCAAACACCAAATGAATTTTGTTCTACCTTTGTCTCTCCCTTGCTTGCCTAGGTGAATTCTATTCAAAAACCCTCCCATCCCTTCTTATTTTGCATCTCCGTACTTTTATATTTATTTAAACTCTGATTATCTGTCCATTACACCTTTCAAGATTTGACCTAATTTATTTATTTATTGAATTGTCTACATATACTCATATATACATATACTACCTTCGTTATTCTTATCGCCACCTGTATAGACCTTGTTATCAATATTTTGCTATCATTATAATCATCGTTATTAATTACGTTCAAAACACTTACCACATTATTACTACTATTTGATTCACAAAATCCCCATCATGATTAGAAAGTTTTATATATAAAACTATGTACACAATAGAGTAAAGCCTGAAGAAGATCTAATTGAAAACAGCAATATTATTCGTTTATATATCTTGTTCTCATATTAAAAATTGGAATATTTAAAGATTTGAAAGCCACTTACATCTATTTCCTTTTCAACAGTTTGAAATATTCTTTCAGTTTCTGTCTGCCCTTGAATTATTATCTCCTCTAGATAGTCAGGCAATCTCCTGACTACTTCATTCATTAACGAATTTCTAAATGTTATTAATGTTTGATTAGTTGAATTATCTAATAATTTAGGATTAAATTGAGCATACGTATAGTCCATAGTATATAAACAAATGGTGCATAAACAAATTAGTAGAAATATGAATGCATAAATTGTAATCTTTAAGATAAGATAAGCATTTCTATGTCTCTTGTATTGAAATGGTTGAATAATTGGTAATGCTGATTGATTTTCGCGGGCTTTCGGAATTCCACCACTTAAATCGTCGAATATAATTGTAGAAGAATCCATTGAATCCATGAATGATGATGGTTTATTTATTTGTTTAAATCTATCACCTGGATCCTGAAACAAACAAAAAATGCATAAAATTTAGAAAAACAACGAAATAAAGCTTCTAGAGTTGTATAATGAATATATATATATATATATATATATATATAAAAACAATGAAGTTGGAGAGAGAAATGTACATTGAAAATTGAATGGCTTCCATTTTGTTTTAGTTTCACTTTCACTCAGCTGGTTAAAATCTGAATAAACAAAAAATGAAAGTGAAATAATCAGCATAAGACAATCTGAACAAACTTTTTCTTTATATTCAAGAAGTTTTTAATACGCCAATCATAAAATGTGGAATTCAGTGGTTAATGTTGAAATTAATTGACATTTGATTAGATTATAATATCTACAATATATCTGACACATTAAAAAGCAGTCTTGTTCATGTAAAAGAGAAAATTCCACAGGATTCACAATATGGCTGTGTCTGTATACTATGAATGTCAATAGAGCCTGGTAGTGTATGAGTCTCTTGTGCTAAAGAACTTCCCAACTAGTAGATTTGCCAACGTATTGTTCTAAGCACTATTCTCAGAGGCAGTCACCAGAACATGATATCACTGATGCGCGAAGCAAAGAAGATGGGAAAAAAGACAGATCACCGAAATAATATCGATCCAATATCGATTAGCAGGAATTATTTGAAAAAGATAAAATTAAATGCCTTATGGATAAAATTTATGCATCTATCAAATCGTAACACTACGTATCATCATCACTGAACACAGCTTGGAATGGCAGTCAGCTCTCTAGGTCACTCAGCTTCATTGACTTTGAAAAGGCTTTCTACAGAGTTGGTCGAGAGGTGATTTGGAAACTACTTCACTACTACAGGATGTCGCCAACAATTATACACCTCATCCAACTGTTCTACGACAATGCTGCATGCCAAGTAATCCACAACGGGAAACTCACCGAATCCTTGAAGTGAAGACTGGGGTAAGACAAAGCTACCTACTATCTCCAGTGATCTTCCTGACTGCAGTAGACTGTATAATATGACAGACAGCGGCGGGCAGCGAGGAAACAGGCGTAAAATTGACCCACACAAAAAGCTTGGATGATCTGGACTTCGCCGATGATATGTGTCTAATTTCTCACAAATGGGAAATATGCAAGTGAAGAGCAACGAGTTGGTAGAAGAAGCATCAAAGATAGGACTTCAGGTGAACATAGAAAAGACAGAGGTGATGAAATTCTTTGCCAACAGCGACAGCCACATTAACAGATAGTTTCTGTTTTGATTTACACTAGTAACTAGTGTGATGCGTCTAGTCCTCTGATTGGTGTAGACTGAATTCTATCAGTCAGTTGTAATGTGACCACCATTCTAGCTAGCTTGCCATCACGGTGATGACGAGTGCCAACTAGCACGAAACCAAGTTCCAAGGCTTCCTGCCGATTGCCTCCAACCATCTAATACCATCAGATAGTTTCTGTGTTAATGAACGGTCCCTACGGTTAAGCAGCTATAGGCTCCTGATGTTATTTCTTCCTACTCAATTTGTAATTTATGAATGTCACTGGGAGTGAAGCCACACAAGTGTGAATATATTTTATATTCTATGAGAACATTTCACGTCTTTTCCAATTCTAAATTTATATTTTAAAGACACATTCAAATTTAACTATGATTCACATAATATACCAGATTCTTTATCATTGCTGCCAATCAGCTTTGATAATCGTCTAGCTGTCTTTTATTGTTCATGGAGAGACAACTTGTAATGATTGTCTTATACAGAATTCCAGCTATTCGGAAAACTGGATATTCATGGAACTTCATCGAAAGATATCCAACGAAAAAATATCCTTTGAAAGCACGCAAAAATTGCATTCTATAGTATAAAAGTACATCCCCGCATTCACCTGAAGACTACTCAAACCTTTTGGAATATATACTGCTCACAAAATCATCTTAATTGGTCTTATGTCAACAAAAAACGCAACAGTAAAATAAAAAAAACACAAACAACATCCTCTACAGATAAATCTTAGCAAGTGTAAAAATACACCACATTGTTGAAAGCTGACCTTCTTCTTGGTCTTTGCATCCACGAGAAGAAACTATCTGTTCAAAGACCCGACATCCATTTGATCAGACGAATGCACATAGACAAATATGGATACCAATTTCGCTTGAATATTACTCGGATTCTAGACGGAGGAAACACTGAAAATACTAATAGAATTTCTGGGAATCCTAGTACTCAGAAGAATCCACAATTGACAGACTCATAGACATGAAAAAATGTATTAGTAGACAGAAGACAAGTAGTTCAGCGAAGAGTCTCTTTTTGGCGAATTCATTTTCATAGCTGTACAATCGCAAATATATATGGTTATTTTTTGCGTGTGTATACATTAAATTTGTCAAACGAAAATACAATTAGTAAGTTCAGATGAATTGGATGTTGATAAGAGGATAGCAACAAAAGTGATGAGTTGTCATAAATGATTGTTAAATAAGAGTTACGTAATGGCATGAATAGTTTGATGAATGAGTTGTGCTCAAAGGTGAACATGGAAACAAAATAATATACAGAATTACACAAGGGTTTTAAGTTAGAAAAATAAGCATACAAACAGAAGTAAGGTCATATCAAACAAACAAACAAAAGTTAGGTCAAATCAACGGAGATGTTACCATGTGAGTAGAAGTGGTTGGATAATTTTCTTTTGTATGCATAGTTCTGGTTCCACCAACTGGATGGCTAGGGCTTCTGCGATGCAAAGAAGACGGAATCATACTGTCTTTGGAAGGTTGTTCTTCACTTTGTAGATTACTTTGAAGGAGGCGTTCGTTGAGATGGAATGACCAGTGTCGATGAGATGTTCGATTATTGCACTCCTATATGGCCATTATTTCCTTTCTGTAGGCACACTGGATATTGTTCTTTGACCCTTTTTGACAGGATGCGCGTTGAACGACCGATGTACCTGGCTCCACAGCACACACACGCTCAAAATAACCATATATATTTGCGATTGTACAGCTATGAAAATGAATTCGCCGAAAAGAGACTCTTCGCTGAACTACTTGTCTTCTGTCTACTAATGTTCGAATGGGAATTATTCATGAAAAAAAATGTATTAGTCAACAAAAAGGATATCATGTAGACAAAAGGGTGGAGTTCAACAATAGTATCCCAGGAATGCGAACGCCCTAATGCCCTTGAACGCATGCTAGTCATTGGTTAACAGCACTTGTCATTTTCGCAGCTGAAATATCAACGCTATTCACCAATTAAGGAGCAAATTTCAAGCAGATCACGTTTAAAGTACTGTTTGGACAATGTGTTGATAACTCGTTAGCGTTAAGATTGGGTGTTTAAGGTAAGTATTGGGGCTAGGGTTGGAATCAGGGTGATAATTAGGATTAGAGTTAGGTTTATGGTTAGAATAAGGATTGTATTATGCGTTAGGGTTACGATTAGACATTGATTTAGAATTGATGTCATTTATTTTAATTTGTTTTATTATTCACATTTTTCAGGTTAGTAATCGTTGATCCTCTTACTGGAAACCATCGTAATTCAGCTGAGGGCTTTCAGGGAAGACTGCACAACATGATAAGAGAGATAAGTGATTCACATAAACAGCACATCTTCAGTCACCCCCGGTGAATACATGTACAAAAACTAGTTTAACTTAGCAACCTATACTACTTTTATAACTGGGACGTATTTTTAAGTCAAGTCCGATAGAGATCCCCTGTTTCATGTGTTGTCACGCATTTGCTTGTGAAACACGTCACTTTTTGTACAAAAACTCTTCATTTTTATGATTGGTTGGCTCAAGGTCACTCGTGCGTTCGCATCCACTGGAACGCTGTTGTTGAAATTTGCCGATGAAATGTCAACTATCTGGTTAGCGAAACAATTCAAATGGATGTGAGTATGAGAACATCTTCAGAAACTACCAGTCACATTGAAAGTTATCAGGAGGAACTGTTACTACACCGATGTATAACTTTCAAAGTTCATTTTATATTGAAACAACTTCTGAAGATGTTGTCCAGGAAAACTGTGAAGCGTTCACTGTCGACCATACATAGCTCACAAAATACAACAACACCTCAAAATATCAACCTGAATTATAAATCTGCATTATTACAAGAAGATTTCAAATATCAAAGTTTTCAACTTACATTGATGTAGATATCAGAAGAATTTGTAGATATTCTTCTTGTATCCGATCGTTGTAACCATTCCAATGTTCTTAATTCTTGCTGATATGCTTTTTGGGTGAAATTTTCAATATCTCCATTGGGAAGTGGGCCTTTTACAGCGTAGATTGAATTTACATTATTGTTGGCGTTATTATTATTATTTGAAAAACTGCTGCTACTATCTTGTTTCAATATTTGTGAAATTTCAAAATACTTTGAAGGCATTTCAAGGTTACTCATACAAGAAGGACAACAAAAGATTATTACAAAATACAGCAGACTAATGATAAAGGCGATCAGGAATAAAAGGCATTCAATAATAATCACAGCTAAAAATCTCCTTGTCATGTTTCCTGAAGTGGTATTCAACAATTGAGCATTGCTTGGATTTTGATTGGTTGTTGAGATTACATTATATACATTGATATTTTGAACACTATCGAATAGCATACGACTGATCATACTATTAATAAATGTATAAGTATTATTTATCTCAATGAATTTTAATAATGTCACTGAACTGTTGACAGATGAAATATTCACCAGTGTACTGTTCACTTGAATTGGTTCAAATAAATAATTTAAAATGCCGCCATCTTCGAATGGCGCAACAATTTGTCCAATTTGTTTAAATTGATGCAGGAGGTTAATTTGAAAAGTGGATAAGCTCATTAGAAGTTAGCTGGATAACTGAAATGGGAAGAAAAAGAAGGCCATAGAAAATAGAAGATAAAAATATGTTCAGAAGTTAGCTTGTATGGAACTGGTATGTTCCAGGTTTCATCAAATATTGATACCAACTAGAGGCAGTCGTTTCGTCTTAGTTTGGGACTTCTTAGCATTGCTCAACCACGACGCTATCAGAGATCAACTCACAGTTACCTTTTTGACTGCGAGGCCAAGCCCATGCACCATTCAGACACGTGGACGCATTAACACTAATTTCTGTCATTTCGAATCTCTAAGTGACACCGCTAGCCGGTGTCATGCAAGATTCGATGGACACCATTGGAAGTGCAGACACCAGTCACTAGTATCCATCAGACTGACAGAAAATTCACAAAAGTTGGATTTGATAGGTCAGTGAATTCTGGCCCAAATCACTGAATGATTAGGTAGCTTGGCTGTGTAACCTGTTGGTCTCAGGTTTGATCCCGTAATGGAGTCGGGAACCATTCTGCTACAGAGTCCCGAACTGAAATGGAACAGCTGTTCAATACTCCCTGACTTTCTTATAGTCCTATAATTCACATCAGCTCTTAATCAAACTTGAGATAAAATTATTATTATTATTATTGTTACCTTTGGTTCGTAAGGGAACATATAGCTTCCGTAGTACGCCTCCAGTTACTCTGTTCTCTGAAATAGTTTTAAGCTGCTTCTACAATAGCCTATACAAAATAGCAGAATACCTGAATTTCAAAGATGATTAATGTTTAATGCCACATAAACCTGAAGACTTACAGGTGAAAACCAACAAATTGGCAGAAGAAGAAGGCAGCGAAGGCAAAATAATTAATAATAATTTTTCCTTCACGTTCCCAGTGGAACATAGGGCTTCAAGCCAGTGGCTTGAAGTTTCTTTAGCAGTGTTTAGTTTTACAGGATGGAGTTGCCAGCCTCATGCCCAACCTTTCCTCTTTACCAGGATTATTTCTGGCTTAGCGAGGTAAAGGAGTGCGTCGTTGGCCGGGGATCGAACCCCGGACCATGTGCATGGTCGGCGAGTGTCCTAACCGCTATGCCACCGACGCAAAACTGCAGGTGAATATGGAAAAGACGAAGGTAGGTGATGAAGATGACCAACTAACCAACCAACAACGACAACCATCACAAATCACCATCGACAGAAGACATTTGACAGAGGTTACTTCCTGCATTCAAGTAACTAGGCAGCATCGTTTCCAATTACAGTCAGTCGAAACGGATGAAGATATCAAAGGCAAGCTACGCCTTCATCAATGTGAAACCAGCTTTGAAATTGTCTGCACTCCGCCAACTTGAAGAACGAGGTTGGGATTTTCGACACAAATGTGACGTCCATCAGTCAGTCCTTATATACGGGACCCCAGAAACTTGGCCGGCCTATCATGAAAAGGATTTACAACAGCCTGTCTCAGACATCTATCAACAGCTGCTGCCTTCGCTGGTTCCCTACTAAAGATGAAGTGTCTAGGCAGGATGAATTAGCAACAAGAATCTCGGGAATGTGACAAATCAACGAAGAGCCGATTGATCAACAAAATATACCGGAGAAAGTGAAAATGGATTCGTTGAGGAGGCCGTCGAATGACGTAGCGCGTTAACCAGACCATCACTTGAGTGAAATCCGAATGGGAAGCGATGAGTGGCTCATCGTGAGGGAGAGATGAGAGGTTATGCGCAGTCGTGGAGCTAGCCAGCTGAAGAAGACAACAGAAAAGAGGAGAAGGTGGTGATATGTTGTTGAAGCCCTATGTTCCTCTCGGAACCAAAGGGAATAATAATAAACTACAACTGCGTGTAAGATTTCATTCCTATCTCAAAATATCTGCTCTGTGCCACCAACCAAGAGATACCCAACCCACTGTTTCCCGTTCAGGGTGCAATCGAGAGTGGTTCTTACGATGTCACTCAATGTTCCTCTCAGAAATTGATTAATTTGAGTGATATGTATAAAATTCACAGGCAAGTCAGATTCTCCATCAAATAAAATCACAGTCTAATAGACCAAATATGAAGATTTCTTTTGAGTCGAGGATATATATGTCTAAATTTAGAGAAAGTAATTCCAAACTAATGCACTTAACATTTGTGAAGTACAAAGTTTAAAATTGTGATTAAAATGTGGTTCGAAGACGACTAACTTTCTCATATGCTTTTTTACCAATTGTTACTGAGATTTCAGATTTATAGGCTTTTATATGACTTTTTAGAACTCTACAAAACTTCTAACCTTTGAAGTAAGGTTTCATAAAGAATATTCTTTGGTAATTGATGCCTTTTTCGTGTATATCATATAGAGGCCTGCTTATAACCTGAGCTAATAAAGACTTCCATTTCTCTCTCTAGTGAATATAATTTATATTTATATTTTATATTTTTGATAACAACTTGATTCCACACTGTATTTTTGGTACAAGTATGGAATTTTCAGTATGGATATCGGTAGCCCAAATTTTGCAGGCCAACCATAGATATCAGGTGTGCGTCGGCGTGGGCTCGAACCCCGGACCATGTGCATGGTCGGCAAGAGTCCTAACCACTGTACCACCAACGGTTTGTTTTAATCGATTAAAATATGAATTCCATAGGTAATATCTATTTGTATTTGTAATATCTACTGTTGTGTATATTTAAAGTGTGGACAAGCTTCTAATTCGCAAGTTCCTAATAAACTTCAGAAAAGGCCTAATTGTGAGTGACAGCGTAACAAAACCGTTCTGCAGTCATTTCCTTGGGTATCAAAATGTACTTCTAAACATCTTATAATTGGCTTTCAACTAGATTGATATCGTGAGTGGATTTCTGAAGGGGACAATGCAGATATATCATAACGAATTGGTTTGTGCTTCAGCTGAGAGAGCACTGTGTCACAGGACATACTGTTAACTAATATTCTACTTGAAGGCATTGTACGAAGGGAAAATATAATGCAATAAACTCCTGTGAAAATTCTGTACATTTTATATATACTGTTATTATACATATGCAACGAAATTTTATACGTAGAAATTGTACTACTTGTGAGTAGGCTCAAACGATTCATAAATTATTCGGTGTACATTTCATGGGAACTACTTTAACAAACCTCCTCAAACTGCATAAGCTATGGCAATCCATATGTTAAATCCTAAACTCTTCATATAGAAATAGTTTTTCACGCACTGAAATTGAAATTCTCTTCATTTGTCTGGGCACTCAATATGTAATTTTGTTATTAAACAATATAAATTTTACGTTACAAATTCGATTTTCACATACAGTTTCTGATATATAGCATCTAATTAATGATTAAATGTAACTAACGTAGACTCAAGCAGAATTAATGAATCCAGGACTCAGCGTGTTGAATCTCAACTAAAAGGGAACAACTCATGCTGTTTAATTCATAGCAAGAGATAGTCTGTCATGCTGTGTAGAATTCTCAATTTTTCACCCAAATCACTTAGTCAACAATATATCCTTCACTGCTGAGTCCGATCTAGACATCTAGGTGCTGCTAGATAATTTTCTATAGTAACCTACGGATTCCACGATAATAAACAGTGTGTGTCTATTGAAAAATTATCTTCAATTTCTTATGTACACCGACTTCCTTAAACTCGACTTATAAACGATTTAGAACGAATATTATTTCATCAGACACTAGCCCCTCCAATAAAACAGATTATTGTTGTTATTCCTTCAGGTTCCATGTATATCATATGGCTTCAGAAATAAATCTCTCCTTTCTTCTGTTTTTTGATGTTCTCTTCAGTTGGGTCGACGAGAGACAATTCTATCTCACCTCTTCCTCCCCACACCATCTCCTCCATGTTACCCTACCACCGATAACTCACTCGTCGCAAGCCCATTCCGATTTCACTGGAACGATAACTTGCATCGCACGCGATCTTATTTGACGACCTGCTCAACGTATGTTTAATCCATTTCATTCTACGTATGTGTTGAGCAATCAGCTCTCACCTGTTGATTTGTTCATCACCAGAGTTTGTTGTTAATAATTCTTTCTGGATGGCCCACTATTCGATCTTCAAAATAGATCCAACCAAGGCGGCAGCTGTTGATATAAGTCTGCAACAGGTTATATGACATGCTGGCCAAGTTTCTGTAGTCCCGTATATTATAACTGACAAAGTGACTTCATATTTATGTCGAACAAAATCCGAATCTTTTTATTCATGCTGGCTGAGTTCAGAAGGTTTCCAAAGTTCAGGTTCAGGTTCATGAAGGCGTACCTCGCTTTTTCGACTCTGGTTGGCTGACTTTGATATCTACATCAGTTCCGACTGCCTGTGGTTGAAGCGATGCTTCCTAGATAACTGAAGCCAGGAAGTAACCTCTGTCGAATCTGTCCCATTGATGGTGACTTGTGACGGTTGTTGTCGTGGCTGTTGTTTGGTTATCAATTAAGCAGAGCATAACCCCGTAGAAATATTTCGCTAATGTCAGTCAGCTTAAACGACAAGAAAAAGGATCTATTTATTATCTGTAGCATTAAAAACAGTCCTTCATTTAAACAGTTCCATTTAATCAACCTTGGTATCCGATGCCTATTTCAGTATCTTCTTCTCCTAAATTTTGTCTCGTGTGTACATAAAGGTAACTGTCTAGTCTTTAAGTTTCTCTCTGCGTCCGTAGTCCTACTGCAGACTAGTCGCCGAACACGACTCCTCCTATTCCCAGAGGACACACCATTAAATACGATCCACTTGACTAGCTATTAGTAAATATACGAAAGAAGGAAGGGTTGGTACGAGCCTAGTTTACCTATCTGGTTAAAAACACGACACCACCGATGCTGCAACTTCAGAATCTTGAAGCCCCCTGTTCCACTCAGAATGTAAGGACTAAAAAGAAAGTCTTTCAATCCATTTCCAAACGTATGCCAATTTTTGTGGAGTCTATCCTTTTCGACTTTTTATAGCATCATGGATCAACAAATTTGTCAAAATATGTGCAATCTGCAT